ATAACAGCACCTACCAACCAGGCTTCTTGTAAGGATAAAATGAGATGCTATTTCTCAATTCCTTTGCAAATCTTATAAAGCAATATACAAAAGCTAGCTATAAGCAAACAGAGGGTAAGTGATTTGTGCAGGTCAAACAGCAAGTATCTGAAACTAGATTTGAACTGAGCCTAACTCTAGCCTCTTGGCTGCCTCATAGGGTTGTGGTGGAGCTCAAATGAGACTCTCAAACCTTAAGGGGGGTATATAAATGCCAGTTATTATTTCCAGCTCTTTGCCTTGTCCTCAAATTTCTCGAAGGTGCGCCAAAACCCCCATTTCCCACCTGACTGCAGCCATCTGATGTTCCCAATGGCTCCTCACTACTCCAAATGCCTCCAAGAGTTGAAAGGTGCTAATTAATGGATAACTACATGATAATGGGTCCTGGGAATGTTTGGGGCTTTGGATTTTCAGTCCTGAGTTTGTTAAGCCTGTATTTCAATTGTTTAAAACCAAAGAAGTTAATTTATAAACTCAAGAAACTACAGAGTTTAAAAGGGGCATAAATTTATAAATGCCCAGTCCAATTCCTAAGCAACCGGCACCAGGAATCCCCTTTCTAAATGAGAAATCCCCTCCATGAGGGGAACCCCCCCCACAAGGTTACGGTTTCTTTAATTCCTTTGTGATCTCATGATGACCTCAACTATGGGAGAATCTGCTTTCCTAGTTCTTTATCCCACCCCCTTTCAATAGTCTTACATTATTTCCCGCCCCCCCAATGACCTTTTGCCAATACCCCACCTCTTTGAGGAGCAGCAAGGTACAATGGAAAAGAACACTGTTTCTGGAGTCAGAAGACTTGGGTTCAAATTCTGTCCTTCCTATGTACTACCTGTGTGACTATGGGCAGGTCACATCCTCCCCGGGCCTCAGTTTCCTTCCCTGTAAATATGAAAAGGTGGGATTAGGTGACTTGTGAGATTCTTGCCGGGTCTCAATCAATTATCTTGCCTTCTGGAAAACTATTACGAATCTCAGAGTCGTCAGGTTGGCAAAGACCCCAAGAGGTCATCTAGCCCATCTTCCACCATGACCATAACATGAATGAGCAAGGACCACAAGGAATCTAATCAAAGATGCTCTTCACTTTAGAGTGTCTAAGAAACCACGGTTTTAGCTGTTTCATTGACTCACATCCAGATCTGTATCTGCAGACTTTTCCTTCCCATGCAATAAGGGCCCTGCATTGCTGGCAGCCGCACCCCAAATGACAGCTTCTCATTTCCCCAGTGCCTCCTGGGGTTCTAATTTGGGAACATGTGGGTAAAGGGCAAAGTGGAGGGAAGGTAGGGGAAGTTCAGGTAGGTGGAAGAAGGGCTGGGGTTCAAGGAAAGAGTATAAGGTAGCTGAAGTGAGAAACCGGGGGTCTGGGAGGAAAAGGCAATGCTCTGGGAAGGAAGAGAAGCACCCTCTAGGACAAGGGTTCTTTACCCTTTTTTTTTTGTTTGGCAGTCTGCTGGAGCCTATGGGTCTCTTCTCAGAATAATATTTACAAATACATAAAATACATAGGATTACAAAGAAAATCAAGTTTACTGGAATATGGTTTACTGACTTATCCATCTGTCTACTTATCCATCCATCTATCCATCTACCTACTTATCTATTTGTCTATCTATCCATCTATCTATCCATCCATCCACCCACCCATCCATCCATCCATCCATCCATCCATCCATCCATCCATCCATCCA